CCTGTCTCGAAAAAAAAGAAAAAGAAAGTAGCAGACATTTCAGCTAGAAGTCAAGAGACAACCCTCCCTCACTTCCAAGCCCTTTCTTGCCTATCTGTCTACCTTGCATCTTCCTGTGCCTTTAGTTAGACCCCTATCATCTCTTTTTTTGTTTATTGTTTTTTGAGGCAGAGTGTCACCGTGCAGCCTGGCTGGCCTGGCTTGCTTACTTCTGCCTCCTAAATGCTGGGATTAAAGTTTGTTTGAGCCACAAAGCCAAGCTAAACCCACATCATCTCTGACCTAGGATTCAGCCATAACTTCCTGCCTGATCTCCCCACCTCCGGTCCTCGGTACCTTTCTTCAGCCCTCTCCATACTGCCAAGTTGAGTTTTGTAGAAAATCAGCTGGCCCACTACACTTCTTTCTACCCCACTCTTGCCTGCCTTGTGCCAGAACATAGGCATGTGGCACCAGACCTGGCTTACTTCCCTCCTTCTTCACAATAAAATGAGGACTTTTTTTTTTTTTTAAGACAGGGTTTCTCTGTGTAACAGTTCTGGCTGTCCTAGAACACACTTTGTAAAACAGACTGGCCTTGAACTCCCAAATCCTGGGACTAACAGTGTGCACTGCCACAGCCCGGCTCATTTTCCTGTTCTTTCTCCTTTCCTGCTCTCTCACAGGTTCTATCTGCTCAACCCCTCGGGAAAATGTTGTTGCCCAGAATGGCACACATTTGTAGTCCAAGAACTTGGTAGACTGAGGCAGGAGGGCTATCCTGGGCTACACAGCGAGACCTTGTCTCAGACAAACACCAATATTGTCCAAGTGGAATTAATTGTGTGCTTTACGTGCCCGCTGACCTGCTGCCATAGTTCTAGGAACTGTGACATTGTATTTACTCTGTAGTTCCTTAAGAATCATGACTGTATTTCATCTGCCTCTGTATCCAGAGAACCATGGAAATAGTTCAGTCATTGTTGGTTGACAAAGTGTATATATTCCGTCTCCTATTGAAATACATAAATTTACTATTTAAGCCACAAAGAGGCACTAGAGAATCTGTCCCTGGTTCAAACCTAGGTACTGTGTTTTATCTTTTTATATATTTATTTTTGAGACCATTTCTCACAGCCACAGGCTGGCCTAGAATTTCCCACATAGCCCAGGCTGGCCTTGAATTTATGGTAGTTCTCCTGCCTTATCATCCCAAGTGTTGGAATGAAAGACATGAGCCCCCCTGCTCACTTTATTTACTTAGTTATTTTGACTGGGGTTGTGTTTTGGAAGAAGTAGGGGAAGTCTCTGGGACTCAGATCCAGGGTTTTGTACACACTAAGCAAGCATTCTTACCTATAAGCTATAACCCAAGCCCTCTGCTCTCCTGAGTTTTTCTGGGGGAGATAATTTCCCAGGATATACACCTTCACAGTGCTAGGCCCTAAGGTGGACTTTTAAAGTGTGACTTTGAATCTAAATTGTTTAGTAAGGGACCCAGACAGGCTAAATAGCCTGTCCAGGATAAAAGGGAATAGATAGCAGAGGCAGAAGTCAAGCCCTGGTCTTCTTGGCTCCCTAGCCTGCGTGCTTTTAGCCCTGTGTACTTAGTTGGCTAAGGAAACACATAAGCCAAGGGTCACCCTATGCCACAAGTTCCAGAGCCTCCTAAGTCTTAAAACTAGATTCATCTCCCTATCCAGTCACCATCCCCTATTCCCCTTATTCCATCCATAAGTCACCATCCTCTTATTCCTCAACGTTGCTAATTCCTCACTTCTGATTTTTCTTGATCCTGATCCACAGCCTCCCCTGTTCAGTTTGAATCCTAAAGTCATTCCAGTAAGGGCCTCTGCCTAGGTCAGGATCAAACCACTGGTTTTTCTTCCTCCAGTCACTATGAACAGGCTCTGTGCCTGGTTGAAGCCAGTTCATTTCCCACTGGTAGCATCAGCTGTTTGGGAGAGAAAGTAGGAAGGATCCAAGAGGAATGGGATTCAGAAAGGAGGCCCTTTGTCTACAGAGGTTGGAGGGGAGCTGTGACCAAGGCAATGCTCCAGAGTTCCTGCAGCAGAATGAGGATGGGTAATAGCTTGAAAGGAAGAGAAAAGCTGAGGTCTCTTCCTTGGGACAAGTAGCAGGGGCCTAACTACCTGGTGATGCTTATTTGTGGAGGATCCTCCTTGTCCTGCGAAGCCCCTCCCCTTCTTTGAGGCCCAGAAGATAGGCACCAGAGCGGCCAAAAGGAGACAGTGTGAAGAGGGAAGAAACAAGGAAACAAAGGAAGAGGAGGGTGCAAGAGAGAGGCAGTGAGTTTTCTCCTGGAAAATGTCTCCCAGGCTCCGGCCCCATCTTGGGGGTGATTATGATGTCACTCGTGGAATCCTCACTCTTTCCCGCCCTCAAGGTCAATGGAAGCGATCATCCAGCCCCGGCGCCCGGGGAAGCAATGGACCAGGAGGGTTCTTGCCGGAGCCTTGCGCCTCTGGGGCAGCGAGCTAGGCCAGCGGCTGCAGCCTAAAGCTCAATAGTTATACCTTGGCTCGGAAGCGATTGCTCCAGGCCAAGGAAGGCGATCTTCCAGAGTCCCGCCCAACCACGCCCCCAGCCTTCTGCCCCGCCCCTTTACCGGTTTTCTCGGTCTTGTCCCAAATGTTAGTTTTGCAGCAGCCAGGCTTTTCCTCAGTCCATCTTTTAATCGTTACTGTCGTCGTCCTGACCCACATCGCTGTCAGCCCAGTTCTTTCACAGGACTCTACCTCGCGGAGATCAACTTTGAACCTCAGCTTGGTGGAGCCCTCGGCCCAGCTGTAAGCTCCAGTCCAGCCCCTAGTTCCACATCATGCTTGCCTAACCCCCAGGCCGCTTCCCCCTCCCCCGTCTTCTAGCCCGGGTCTAAGCGTCAGTCGTGTTCTTCATCCGGGATCTCCAGTTCCTTCCTGGTCCCTTCGTCACGCCGTTAACGCCAGTACCTGCTTTTGCCTTTGCCTTACATATCCAGCAACTCAGTCACTCGCCTAGATCCTCGCTGGTCCCTGCCACTAGAAAAAACCCGACCGAAACCCCACCCCCAGCAGGTACTGGCCCGCCCCTTCCAGTCTCAAGCGCCTTTGACCTTTGGGACCTGCCCCGCCTTCTGAGGCCGGGGCATCCATGAGGTCCGCCCCTGACAGTTCTGGGAGCAGTCTCATTGAACGTGGCATTTCGGGTGTCCTAGCTTTGGATCTCCTTGATGACATGCTAGCTCTCCTCCACTGTGTATGGTACCTCCCCACACTTCCAGATAAGACCAATCCACGCCAGCTCCACCTTTTAGGTTTCCTCCCAGTCCCATAGGCCACTTGGTCCTAGGCCCCATTCAGTTCATCCTGTCCAGACAGTAAGTTGGCCTACAGTTCATGGCAACTTCGTTCCAGTACCCACCTTTTACATCCTCAAACACAGAACCCACACTTGTATGTCACGCACAGTGATGCTCAAAGTTTACACACAATACACAGGCCTAATTTAAACCTATGTGCAACCGCCCCCACACATGCAGATCATGGAACTCCACACTCAGGTCCCTGGGAGCACTCCAGCACTGAGGTGGCTTCTCACGTGCACACTGAATTAACCAGCTCTGTACAAGGAACCCAGAGCTGTGGGAACAGAAATGGAAAAATAGACACAAGACTGTGAAAGAATGAGAGCTGCTTCGCAAATATTCCACACAGCACATCTCCTAGTTTCCCTCCAAGTGGTTTCCAAAACCAGGATATGTGTGCCTCAAAAAACAGAGGGCAGGCTGGGCATGATGGTGCTAGCCTTCTTTTAAACATACATTGGTGTTTTGCTTACATATTTAGTCTGTGTGTGGGTGTTTGCTCCTGGAGTTACAGGCAGTTGTGAGCTGCCATGTGGATGCTGGGAATTGAACTGGGGTCTTCTGAAAGAGTAGTCATTGCTCTTAACCACTGAGCCATATCTTTCCCTGGTGCCCACCTTTAATCCAAACATTTAAGTTTGAGGCCAGCCTAGTCTTCATAGTGAGTTCTAGGACAGCAAGTGTTATCTAAAGATTAAATAACCCAAAAATTAAAATAAATAAGTAAATAAACAAACAGGGACAAGACCAGGTATGATGGCATGTGCTTTTAATTGGGAGGCAGAGGCAGGTGGATCTCAGAGGTCCAGGTCACCTGGGGCTAACCATAAAAGCCCATCTCAAAAATAAATATAAACCCCTAGTGCTAGGGATAGATTACCTCCGTAGGAGCTGCTGACCAATGAGGCCCAAGAAGCTTTAAGACAATAAGGGCTATTTACCATTGCTGTCAGTGACATTCCAAAACTGAATGGCAAGAACCTGTTGTTAATGATGTCTCATGTATTGGTTTACAGAACTTGGAAAAACAGCTCAAAGGCTTCAGAAGTCCCTGAAATTGAGTAGATATACTAGCATATTTAAGCAGTCAGGACTTAATTAGAGACACTCTCAGATAAGCCGAACTGGCTGGAAGATAGACCCTCCAACCTGTTCAGCTGCCTGAAGGATGTGCAGCAAGCTCCAGGTTTTATAAGCCAGCACTCATACTGGGGCAGCTGTATTTGAGTCATTTCCACTCCTGTAAGTAGACACTCACCCATACTCCTGTAAATAACCTGAATAAAACTCATTGGTTCATCAAGTTGGACTTAGATGATACATATCCTTACTTCAGTCTGTCATCAATTCTCTGTCTGGGACAAACAGAGGTTTGTTCATGTCTCTCTAGGGACATTTGTCACACAGTACTCAGATACCTATTACTTTAGAGGTCATGCCTCAAAGAGAGAGCGAGAGGGAGACAGAGAGGAAGGAAGAAAATAGCAAGGAATAAGAAAGGAAGCTATTCAGATTTTAACCCAGTGAGGATCTAGAGGATACAGTCAGTCCGCCAAAACCTGGTCTCTGAGGTGTCAGCCAGCTGAACCCTGTCTTAGGGGGCAGGAATAGACAGAATCCCCACAGGGGCTCCAGTCTCTAAAGTACTACATGTTCCTACCCAATCTACATCTATTTTCCCCCAGTAAAGGACTCCAGCCCAGAAAATGCTAATAAACAAATTTTAATGCATAAGGCACAGTATAAGGCTGGAATTATTAAGCATCATCATAATAAAGGGCCAGCAGGCTGAGCAAAAGCAGCACGAACACTGACACTCCCCCAGGCACCCTGGAGAGCCCCAGCCCCAGAGGAGTACAGGATCATCCAGTCTTTGGCATGGTGCCATGGGCAGGAAGAGACTAGCATGGTCCCAGTTACACTCTGGGGGCACTGCCTTCAAGGGGAAGCTCTTTGGTCTGAAAAGTCAGTGCAAACGTCCAGGGGTTGAATTCTGAAGTTGGGGTGGCACAGTACCCCAGGAATGGGCAGTTTCTGGATAATCCTCACTCTTCAGGGACAACATGTGGTCTTTTTCTTGCTGGCAGTTAGATAGAGGTTTTTGTCATCACTGTTGATGCCTGGAAAAGGGTGGGAAATAGATGAATCAGGGATTGGAGGGTTCATTCCCTCCCTCCCTCCCCTTGCTCTCTGCCACCTTCGATCCAGTAAGCACTTACGAACAACATCTCCAATGCGCCGAGCCCCCGACTTCTCAAGCTCAGCCAGGACATTGGCCTCAAAGGTCAATGCTGCCACACGGAAGAAGAATTCCCGGACATTCTCACCTGATATGGGGAGCAGAAACGGGTGCTCAGGGGAAACAGTATGCCTACAACACTGGATGCAGCTACAGATGTAGGGGTGAGGAGAGGTGGGCAGGTGCACACAGCAGAAAGCTGGGGCCCCCAACTCACCAGTGAGGGAGGACACTGCCCAATACTCAGCCTTAATCTCTTGGGCCACCTTGAGGGCATCCTTCTCCATTAGGGAATACTGAGCAGGAGTCTGTGAGAAAATCAGTGTCAGATTGGGGATGGGTCCCCTTACCAAGTTGGGAAGTACCACCAATGGCACACTCACACTCAGGTCCTTCTTGGAACCCACAAGGAAGAGAAGTACGTTGGATGGGTCATTTTCCTTGAGTGCATCAGCGAGCCACTGCCTGCCACAGACGTTGGGATGTGTCAGCCTGACAGGCCCCATCCACCATCTTTCCTATGTCTGGTTACTAGCTCTGATTTTTTTCTCTGGCCCCCTCCCCATTACTCCAAGGACTGATCCCAGTTTCCTATCTATGCTATGCTGACACATTCCCTTCCACTCAGCTACAGACACAGCCCTTAGAGACACCCTCTTTTTCTGATCACCTTGTCTAAAGCCTCCCTGGACTTCCCACTGTGCTCTGGGCATCCTTACATACTTGGTATGTTCCAAGGATGCCACGTCATTCAGGTTGAAGACAATGATGATGGCTGAAAGAGGGACAGAAACAGCTGTATGCTGGTGGACTGACACATGCCTCTGGCTCATTTTCCCTACCACCCCCCCTCCCAGCTCTACTGAGAAGCATGATGTGCTCTTAGGCTGCTTGCATTACAGGGCTGAATCCACACCTTGAGCTCCTCGGTAGTAGGTGGAAGCGATACATTTGAACCTCTCCTGCCCAGCAGTGTCCCAACTAGAAGAAAGGAGAACAGAACCTAGATTACAGGATATACAGAATAGGGTGACAAGGCTAGCTGGAAGGGGTGCAAGAGACACTCACAGTTGGAGACTGAAGGGGACACCCAACACTTCAAATCGTTCCATCTCAAAATCCACTCCTATGGTGGCCTTGTAATTTTTATCGAAGGTGTCTTTGCAGAACCTGAGGAGGCACCAAGTAGCCTGTAGCACAGCCCACCTTGTGAAGACCGGATCCTACTGTGTCCTGGCCCAGCCAAGCTCCAGCACCCCGTTACCTATTAATGAGACAGGTCTTCCCCACAGACAGGTCCCCCACAACGATGACCTTGGATATCTTAAATCTGCTGGACAGTAAAGTAAATGGACAGAGGAAGTGAATATCAACTTTTCACTCCAGGGGGTTCTAACACACTTACTGGGTCTTAGTTGCACCTAAGCAGAAAGTTACATTACCATCTACAGCCAGCCTCCCTGGAAGCCTGGAAGGTCCTAAACGCATGTGCTGGGGGGCAGTGATCAACATTAGGGACTTTCACGACTGGACTCTCTCTTTCTGCGTGTGTGTGTGTGTGTGTGTGTGTGTGTGTGTGTGTGGGTGTGTGTGTCATGATGGTCCAGGGCTCTCTCCCTCTTTATCTGAGCTGCACACACCCCCAACCTGGAGGCTCTATGGATAGTTATGGATAGTGTATGACCTCTCACGTCGGATACCTTCTCCGTAGTCTCAAAACAACCCAGTTGGGAGAAAAGAGGAGAACGTCAGAGCTGAGGCATAACCATGTAACCTCGAAGGGGTCATTTGAATGCCTTCAAAGTTTCTTGAGTATTTATTTATTTAATTTTAGTTAGGAGTGTTCCTAACTCACCCCACGGTGCCTGTCCGGTGCTCCTGGCAGGCGCAAGTGACGCGGGGGTGGAAGTCTTTGCGCACGTGCAAAGCGGCCTCCTTCCTCAGGGACTGAGAGGGACATTGTGAGAATGGGGCTTTTGTCCCGCGGCCAAGCAGCCAGGGCTGGGGGGTGGGGTCGGAAGCGGACCACCCAGGAACAGCGGGCCTGGCCGGGCGACAGGGATGGGCCCAATCCAACGGCTCGGGCGCCACCTCTCCCCGCCCACAGTCCGCTACAGCCAGAGGCCCGACGTGGCCCTGTAGCCTACCTGCGGCAGCTCCGCCAGGACGCGGTCCCTCCTCACGGGCGCCAGAATGTTCATCTTGTCTGCGGCCTTGCGGGGCTCCCCGGGAAGGCGCGAGGGCCTGATCCGCCCCAGCGACCCGGGCCCGTGGGGACCCGACGATCACCCGCGGCCGCGGGGTACCGACAATCACCCGCGGCCAAGGGGAGCCTGCGGGAGCCCTCGGCCTCGGAGACGCTACGACCACCGCGGGCCAAGGGGATGAGACGATCACCCCGGGTCTGGGAGAGCCCACAATCACCCGCGCCCGGGGCGTTCCGAAGACCACTCGGGGGCGGGGAGAGCCCCCGGCCGCTAGCTGTGGGCGGGGAGTGGCGGCGTCCCGGGGAGCCCGGGCCCGCGCGGACCCTACAATGACACGGGGTCTGATAGCCCCCACGATAACCCGGGGCCGCGGAGACCCGACGACAACGCGGGGCTGGGGTGGCCCTACCATAACAGAGCTCTGTAACGCGATCCCCGGAAATTCCTGGAGAAGGGCCGCCCCCTGCCCCGCACCCCGCCGCTCCCGAGCTTGCAGCCGCCCTAGTCGCGGCCCTCGCCAACCCCCTCCTCTCCTCTCCTCCTTCCCGCTGCCCCGGCTCCGGCTCGCGGGACAGATTCTTTACCCCACACCAAGACTGCCTCCACCCAGGCTGCAGCCTTCCAGACTGGGGTCCCCTAAGCCTCTCTCCCCTCCATCTCTCTTCGCGGCTGCATCTTCCTTGGGACCCCCTTACCCAGCGGAACTGGTGATGGGGAACCGGTGACTGTAGCGCAGCATCTGGCAAGAGCCAGAGCCGCCGAGGGGAAAAGGGGGAGAGAAGGGGCCCAAGGAGAGGCGGCGCTTCCCTCCACGACTCCAAGCCTAGATCGTGACTCATAGAGTCTGCCCCTGCTTGCCCTCCTGCCCCGAGAGGTGGGACGAAGCACCTAAAGGGGGTGCCAAGATCTGAACCAAGTGTCCACCAAGGACCAGACATCTCAGATCTGTTGTCTTCTCCGTCGAGCTTCCTCCCGTAGAGGATGAAGACGTGTTAGGTAGACTGTGAATTTCGTCTTTTAGCATAGTCACATTCTGGGACTCTAGGACTCCGTTCTGTTATGGGTGTTTGCCTTTTTCTCCCCCGACCCCCCATTAGAACAGTCAAAACCAGAACAACTTTTACTTATTTGCGAGCGCGGACGCACACACACACACACAAATTGTCTGAAGCTAAATTTGAAGAAGCGAAGATGAATGGAACACAGCCCTAGAAAGGGACAACTAGTTCAGAGTTGACGACTATGAAATTATTCACAGGAGGCCGGGCGTTGGTGGCACACGCCTTTAATCCCAGCACTCGGGAGGCAGAGGCAGAAGGATCTATGTGAGTTCGAGGCCAGCCTGGTCTACAGAGTGAGTGCCAGGACAGCCTCCGGTATTGGGATTAAAGGTGTGTGCCACCAACGCTGGGTTACATTATTCAGTTATGAAGTAATGTCGAAAGTAATTGTATGGTTGGGATCACTACCACATGTGTAATAAAGGTTGTGAACCCCTGACCTAGAGAAATCATGTTCAGCTGTGGCTGAAGTCTAGCAAGGTGGCTCACACCTGTGATTCCAGCACTCATGAGACTGGGCTACAGAGTGAGTTTTTTGTCAAAAAAAAAAAAGGTCGGGTATGGTGGCCTCCAAGTACTTGGAGGCAGAGGCAGGCAGATCTTTGTGAGTTTGAAGCCAGCCTGATTTATTACCAAAGCTCCAGGCAATCCAGAGCTGGATAAACCCAGCGCTCGGAGGCAGAGGCCGGCAGTTCCAGGCCATACCCAGCTTACAAAAACCAAAAGATTAGGTCTGCAGAAACAGTTCAGGATTAAGAACACAGGCTGCTCTTGCAAAGGACAGGGGTTTTGTTCCCAGCACTTACAAGGCAGCTTACAACTGCACCAGTAACTCCAATTCCAGGGGATTGTACACTCTCTGCTGGGCTGTGGCATCAGGCACAGACGTGCACAGACATATACATATAGGCAAAAGTCATACACGCAAAATAAAATTGCTTGAAACATAAGGGGCTGTACAATGAATGATTCAACAGTTAGTAGTGCGTAATGTCCTCTGTTGTGTTTTTTGTGGGATTTTTTTTTCTTTTGTTTTTTTGAGACAGGGTTTCTCTCTGTAGACCAGGCTGGCCTTAAACTCAGAGATCCGCCTGCCTCTGTCTTAATGGCTTCCCCCACCACTGCCCAGGAGTACATGCTGCTCTTACAGAGGACCTGAGTTCAGTTCCCAGAACTCACATATAGTGGCTCAAAACCACCAAAAACTCCAGCTCCAGGGATATCTGAAACCTTCTGGCTCCTGTAGGCACCTACACACAGGCACACACAGACAGACAGACACATACACATAAATAAATAAAATCTTGGGGCCAGGTGGTAGTGGCACACGCCTTTAATCCCCACACTCAGGAGGCAGAGGCAGGTGGATCTCTGTGAATTTGAGGCCAGCCAAACTCACTCTGGTCTACAGAGCGAGTTCCAGGACAGCCTCCAAAGCTTCACAGAGAAACCCTGTCTCGATTCCCTCCCCCTCAAAGATTATTTGTTACATATTCAGTGTTCTGCCTGCATGCTCACCAGAAGAGGGCATCAGATCTCATTATAGACCATGTGGGTGCTGGGAATTGAACTCAGGACCTCTGGAAGAGCAGCCAGTGCTGTCAACATCTGAGTCATCTCTCCAGCCCCTATTATTATTATTATTAGTAGTAGTAGTAATAGTAGTAGTAGGATTAGGATTTTGAGATAGGGTCTCACAACATATAACTGGTTGGCTTGCAAATTGCTCTGTAGACCAGGCTGACCTTGAACTCACAGAGATCTGCCTGCCATTACCTCCTGGTGTTGGTTTTACAGTGTGTGCTACCACATCAAGCTACAGATTATATTTATTTAAATTCTTTTTTGTTTGTTTTTGTTTTGTTCTTTGGTTTTTTGAGACAGGGTTTCTCTGTGTAGCTTTGGAGCCTATCCTGGCACTCCCTCTGGAAATGAGGCTGGCCTCGAACTCACAGAGATCCGCCTGCCTCTGCCTCCCGAGTGCTGAGATTAAAGGCGTGTGCCCCACCAACACCCGGTGATTGTTTGTTTTTTGAGACAGGGTTTCTCTATGTAGTTCTGGCTATCCTTGGCATGCAGTCTAAGTCAGGCTTGAACTGCTAGAACTAAAGGCATGTACAATCCACATTCAGCTTAAAAATTCTTTCTAATACTATTTATGTGTGGGTATGTGCCCACATAGTTATGGTTGCTGGGAGTCCCAACTCAAGTTCTCTGAAAGAGAAGTACATGACTTTGTTTTTGGTTTTTCGAGACAGAGTTTCACTGTGCAACAGCCCTAACTGTTTTGAAACTAGCTCTGTAGACCAGACTGGCCTTGAACTGACTGTGATCCCATTTGTCTCGGCCTCCTGAATGCTGGGATTAAAGGTGTGTGTCACCACTGTCTGGCAAAGTACAGGATGTTAAATGCTGAGCATTTCTCCAAGGCAGGGTTTCTCCGTGTAGCTTTGAAGGCTGTCCTGGAACTAGCTCTTGGAGAATCAGGCTGGTCTCGAACACGAACTCAGAGATCCACCTGCCTCTGCCTCCGGAGTGATGGGATTAAAGGCGTGCGCCAACACCGCCCAGCCGCAAATTGTATTCTTGCCAGTTGTTAGTGTTACTAGCCTCTAACAGGCAAACCTCTTCTCCAAGGCTGGAAATTGCTCAAGAAGTGAATTGGCAAGGACCAGACTGAATCGGCGGTTGCTATAAACACCCGCAGGCTTAGGTCTGGAAAAATAAACATGGATCTTTTATAAACTATAACGCCCCAGAAAAAAAACAAAAATCAAAAACAACAAACAAACAAAAACTTGTCTCCGAAAAAAACTACAACTCCCAACGTCCTTTAGAAGTGACGGGTGGCGCATGCTTTATCTAGGGCGCTAGGAAATTAAATGGAACTGCAATTCCCAGGAAGCCCTCTACTACTGTTCACCCAATCAGCTCTCTGTATGAATTATCGCGAGACTTTGATGAGACTTCATCGTATAAGCTCATGGGAACGAGGATAGGAAATCCTTTTCGCCAAGATGGCGCCGAAAGCGAAGAAGGAAGGTGTGTTGCGGCTTGGGGTTGTGGCGGGCTGGCCTGGGATATTCGCAGAGCGGACTCACGGGGACGGTGGCCGCTGGGCTAGGCCATGGGGGACTGCTCTGGAGCCACTGTCGCGGCTAGGTCTACCTGGCTGTTTAGGGTCGCGTGGGCCGCGCCGCATGGCTGCTTCCCGTGAAGGGAGTTGGAGAGACCACCCGGCCGGCCTCGCTGGCCGCCGACAGACAAGCAGTTTGCTTTGGGGAGCTACTTAACATCCACAGGGTGGCGCTCCGTGTCCCCAGACCTCTACGGAACGGCTTCCTTTTCCACGTTAAACGGGGTGACACGCATGAGCTTGGTGTGACTCCGGGTTAATGGCCTTCGCCTGCAGTATCGTGCATATGATGGAAAAAAAATCGACTCTCCTGAGTCCTATGATGCCTTCAAAGGAACCACTGATGCACGTGCTGACAGGGCCGCCGGAAGGGATCAGTCTGTGAATGCTGCTCTGTAGTTACCTTTCCTTCTCTCTCAGCTCCTGCCCCTCCCAAAGCCGAAGCCAAAGCGAAGGCCTTGAAAGCCAAGAAGGCAGTGCTGAAAGGCGTCCACAGCCACAAAAAGAAGAAGATCCGCACGTCACCCACCTTCCGGCGGCCCAAGACCCTGCGGCTCCGGAGGCAGCCCAAATACCCGCGAAAGAGCGCGCCCAGGAGAAACAAGTCAGTACTGATCGCCTACCCACTGGTCTGTTGTAAGGCGTTGAGGTTGCTGATTTACCACCCGCCCAATAGCTTGCCTTATACTTGTCCAATGTGCTGCTCTGGCAGAAGCCTGAGATTTTTGTGTGTTAATGATTAACGTGATCTGATCAATATGAAAGTCTACTTCAAAGAGATGCTGTTCATCTTAAGCCTCCAAGTGTCTAGGCTCTTTTCGCGGGAAGGAGTATGTGAGAGTGAGGGAGTGGATTGGTTAATTTATGTGCATGGGGCAGTGATGCACTCTTTAATTAACCAGCAAATGTTAACTCTGTCCAGAAGAAGTTTGGAGGAATGGATGAAATGTGTGTACTGAAAGACACATGTGAGGGTTGTGTGTATGGGGGAATTAGAGACCTTATTTTCTTATTTGGAACTAGCGTTTTTTGTGTGATGAAGGCTGGTTAAGGGTGCAGACTGCTCTTCCGAGGACCTGGGTTTGATTGCCAGCACCCACATCCGGTGGCTTACAGCTTCCTATAATAACCCCAGCTGTTGGGGATCTGACACCTGTGACCTCTTTGGGCACTTGGGTTCATGCAGACATTCTCCAGCCCACATAATAAAAATTTTTGAAAAAAAAAAAACATTTGGATGAGTAAAGTTTGACCTCAGAATTTTTTTAAGGGCTTTTATTTTTTTATTATGTATTCAACATTCTGCTTCTATGTATATCTGCACACCAGAAGAGCACCAAATCTCATAATGGATGGTTGTGAGTCACCATGTGGGTTTTTGGGAATTGAACTCAGGACCTCTGGAAGAGCAGCCTGTGCTCTTAATCTCTGAGCCATCACTCGAGCCCAGACCTCTCAGAATTTCAAGGAAAAGTTGTCTCCTGTCGGCTCAATCATCCTAAAGTTTAGACTAGCCATTGGCTCTTGGGCTGGGAATGTCGTTCATTCCTTAAAACTCCTGAAGAATCTGGGTTCAGTATGCACTTCATAATCATGTGTAATGTTAAATGCTAGGTTGAGGCAAGAGCATCTGACGTTCTAGGTGCACCCAGTCTGGAATGTATGGAACCCCTTCTCAGACCAGAAGGTGTGTGTGTGTGAACTTGGTGGCTCTTGCATTTGAGAACATCTTGTCTACATTGTAGGGTCCTGTCTGAAAAAAATGGATCGGTAGAGCATAGCCAATTTTAACACCAAGCACAGGTTTCCTCTGCTCTTTTGCTGTTTTGTTTTGGGATCTGGCTTCATAATAAAGTGCTAACATGGAACTCCAGTGGGTGAATGTGCATGGATTAAGCATGATTCTGTAGTTACTCCAAAGCTTGAGGTCCCTTCAACAGGAGAGAACATACAAGTTTTGGCTCTAAATTGGGAGCTTGGACCCCCTAGGGTTCAGGTGCATGTGATGACACCATTTAGCGACCAAAGTCTGAATCAGATGATTGCTTTTTACTGTCTGATGCACCTCTTAGACTTGGGACCCCTGTCCTACAGCCCCTGGTGTATATTGTGCCCAGAGCAGTTTACTCCATTTTGATCCTCCCATCCATGCTAGGCTTGACCACTATGCCATTATCAAATTCCCCCTGACCACTGAGTCAGCCATGAAGAAGATAGAAGACAACAACACACTTGTGTTCATTGTGGACGTCAAGGCCAACAAGCACCAGATCAAACAGGCTGTGAAGAAGCTCTATGACATTGATGTGGCCAAAGTCAACACCCTCATAAGGTGAGTGGGGCTAGGCAGGAAGCAGAAAGCTTGTGTGGGTTTACCTGTCCCCTGGCTTCATGGTGGCTCTTAGGCCCCTCTGTGCAAATGATGGAAAACTCAATGTTTGGAAAAGAATGACACCAACAAAGGAACCACTGATGCAGCAGAGGATGGGGCAATGTGGGAGGGCTTGGGGCTATAAGAGCAGCCAACTCTGAGGCTTCCTTCTCTACTTAGGCCTGACGGAGAGAAGAAGGCATACGTTCGCTTGGCTCCTGATTATGATGCTCTGGATGTTGCCAACAAAGTAAGCATCCTGTCCAGTCAATTCTGTGGGTGGTATCGCTACCCAGCAAGCCCCGCCTTCCCCCTTGCCACCCTAGCTCACTTAACCTTTCATTTCCACAAACATAGCTCCTTTTTGTTTTTCAGATTGGGATCATCTAAACTGAATCCAGCTGGCTAATTCCAAATATACTCTTTTTCACCATAAATAACTCTTGCTTGTCTTTTTGTTGCTTTCTGGTTGGGCTGGGGACATGGTCAATACTGAGGCACATTAAGCTGTCAGTGCTTATATGTAAGGTGGGTGGTGCTGGGGAAGTTCTCTCCCATCTCTGAGCAAAAAAGGACAGGGATTCTGTGTAGCTTTGGAGCCTTTCCTAGAACAGGCTGGCCTCCAGCTCAGATCCCCCTGCCCTGTGTGTGCCACCACTGCCCAAACACCCCCAAAAAGGCCTCTTAACTAACTTGACATTGGAATTTGCCCATGAGCCACCCATGCAAGAACCCAAATGCCAGAGGTATTCATTACTCCAGACAAGTGTTGTCAGGAAATATGCCTCCTGCAGAAGTGCATAACACAGACTTTACAAGAGTTCCTTCCTTGATCCCTGGAAGAGGCTGTTGTGAAACCAACACCAGAGGGGGTATTTTAGAGTTGTCAGCATCCATTTTCAGGGCAGCCTGGGCTGACTAGCTTTTGGACAGTGTCTTCTCTCCCATCCTACCATGCCCAACCGGTTCGTCTGCTTCCCTCACCCCTTGCCCAAGAAGGACTTGAGAGAATAGCTTTCATTAGTGTTTTCAATAGTGTGGGTGTAGGCTCAAGGTGGGAAGCCTGGCCCCAAAACACACCCAGGCTTGAGGCAGAGCCCTAGTTTATGTTACAAAACTGTTGGCTGTGCTTGCTGTCCCTGCCGCATGTCCTGGGTTATCCTTTCTCACTCAGTCAAGAATTTGTCTTTGTGTTGGCGTCTGGGCACACGTTCAGGGCAGAAATCAGAGCGGAGGAGTCGAGAAAAGTAGATGAGGATCATCAAGTCCAGCATGAGCAGGATGACCAACAAAAATGTTCCCAGAGTCCTCTGGCCAGCGTACTGCAGGAAGAACTTAGTGAGGTAGACCTGAGGGGCCAGGCGGAAGAGAAAGTACATGACCAAGTTGACATACTTGTTGACCCGGTAGAGGAGGAGATCCTGGGCGTTGTTTATCTTCATCATCATCCTTAGGGTGAGGAAGATGTTGCTGACCTCCACCAGTAGCGTTAAGACGCCACCACCAACAAAGCTTTTCCAAAAGATACCAGAGAAGAAGGCACCCATAGCCTAGGGGACAAGCGACAGGACAAGGGCAGATTCATGAACACTAAAATAGGTGCCATAGCATTTCTGGGCTCAAAAAACAAATCATAAATGCTAAGGGTTCCCTCACACAAGAATTAGACTTTGTCCATTAGAGTCCAGCTCTGCAGGACATTCCTAGTCTGTTTACCTAGATAGTAAGTAGGTGAGCCAAGGCACTCTGGCCCCATAGGGAGCAGAATCACTCAACAATCTTAGGCAGCCTAGAAGTCGGACCCTGCTGGGGTTAGTAATATGGCCTCCCTCCCTGGTTCAAAGGGTTGTGACCACGTTCCTGTTACCACATCACTTACCATGACATGATGAACAAGGTATTCCCAAGAAGCTCTGGTCTGTTTACTAATCACGATGTCCACCGTGTCGTGGATGAAGTATCCTAGTGGAGGGGTAGGGAAAGAACAGACTGAAAACTCTTAACCGCCTTCCAATCTCTTACTCTCCGCCTCCTTGGGCATAACCTACCTGCAGAGAAGCAAACAAGCAAATAGCCAGAAAGTGACCACGCCGTTTCAATCTCCACCAGCATTTCAGGGGTTTGCCATATGCTGAAAAGGAGAAAAGGGACACTCGCGGTTGCAGTCTCCCGAAGGACCCTCGCCTCCCCCAACACTTGTCAGTCCCAGGGCACTCTGGGCGCCCACTATTGGCTGACTGGAGAGTGAGGAGGGGCTTGGCCGAAGCCCAGGCACCTCGGGTTTCCCACAGCCGTTCTTGGTTGGGTAGTTTTCCAAACAGGGAATCAGGTGAGATCCTTGGCGTCTGTTCACCCATGAGTGATGGGAATAGCAACAGGGAGAACAGTCCGAGCACCCCGCGAAAGATCCCACGGACATCTCAATACCCCGGGTTGTTCACTCACCACAGCAGTGCCCAGATCCCTGATACAATGGAGTGGGTGAAGGAGACGAGTAGGTTGTGCCAACGCCAGGTGCGCAGGGGGTCGGTGCGCACGTGAGCAGGCAGAGGCAGGCGACAGAGCGCGCGCCGGAGTGCCCGGAAGGTCAGTGTGGCGCCCAGGAGCAGCGGCCAGGCGGGGTGCAACAGTAGGTGCATGCTGGCCCTCCCTGCCGTCTGTCTGTCCGCCCTCTAGGCCGACTCCTCCGGCAGTTCTGGGAACACTACTCAGTCTCTGGCCAGCG